GGCAAAAAACGAAATGCCAACGTTCTTTTAGAGACATAAAGGTATTATTTCCTTTTGTGATTTCTAGACATGGTTTCATCTTAAAAGTTTATTATTTCTTTTCGAAACGAAACAGCCTAGGGCAATTTGTCACATTTTCCTGTTATCGGATTTTGTACGAAAAAGAAATATAAATCTTTATATTATTACTACTCCTGTCGTATTTTGATAAACGTACAACGTACAATATACGAGAGACAAGAACACAATAGAAATAAATAAAATCAAAAGGTATACATTATTATTATCTTACTGTATTAGAAAATAAAAAATATATCAGAGGATGTTCGTGCAGACACGTTATTGAACAAATTGCTGAAAAGTAATAAACCAACCGTAAATTGAAATATCTCCTCCGTGGTTCACGATGGATGAGGAAACTATTTTCAAGTATTAAGATCAAATCGAAATTTTCGTTGAAATAATTATCGGAGGTTGCCACACAATATTGGAGGGCTTAGACCCAGCTTACATGAAGAAACTACGTGAAACAAAATAAACTTACGTTCTCGTACACCCCCTGTGAGCACGTATGAAATTCTGGCCTTGGAGTATTTTATACTTTTTTTTTTTTTTTTATTTTTTTTTTAAGGGGGGAAAATCATCGAATGACTGCTCCCGCCTGGGTGAGGCGGAAGGGAGTGTCAGACTCTTACTGACTAAAAACCACCCCGTTCCTTCTCCTGCACGTCGAGCCGGAGCCCCGGTTACCCGTTAGGTTCTCCGCGACTCCGAATCGGCATCGGCCCTATTGGGCCCCATCTGTGGTGGTCTGATGGCTCTTTGAGGCGCGCGCGGAACGCGACGCGCCGTACGCTCGGGTCTGTTTCTGGTCGGACGGGGAGCCACCCATGCTCGCCGTCCGCAGGCCCGCGCTTACGGTGGCCGGAGATCGTCCCGCGATCCCCGACGCCCGGTGTGTCCTTCGCGATGGCTGGGTTGCGAGGAGGCAGCGCTTCGCTGCCTCACGCGTCCCGCCTCCTCCTTAGCCAGCATGACTGCTTCGCAAAAGGAGGAGACGGCATCCCAGTCCCCCTCGCTCCGCATCATGACCTGAACTAGGCCCGGACGCGAGAGGTCTCCATCGCCGATCACTTCCCTGAGGGCACGGCGGTGCTCAGCCCACGCAGGGCATTCCGCAACAGTGTGTTCCACCGTGTCCTCAGGGGTCCTCGCAGTGATGACACCCGGGCGTTTCCTCCCGCCCCATCAGACACAGGTACCTCCCGAAACTTCCATGTCCGGTGAGGACCTGCGTCAGGCGGTAGGTGAGGACGCCGTAGCGCCTCTCAAGCCACTCCTCAAAGAGGGGACTTACCGCTGCAATGGCAGCGAGCCCAGCCCTCGGTTGCGACAGTCGTTGCTGCCATTCCGCCATGAGATCGCGCCGGAGCTCATCCCGCCACGCACTTATCTGGCGCGGCAGCGGAGTTTCGCCCCGGCGACGTGCCTCCGCGCGCATGCGATACACGCGCGCGAGCACCTTCGCCTCCAGATCCCACGGCGGTAATCCGGCAAGGAGGTTCGCCGACTCCCCAGAGATCGTGCGGTATCCGCGGATCATTCGGATCGCCATGACCCTCTGTGCCATAAGCAGCGCCCGAGCGGGCCGCTGCAGCAGGTTCGGCGCCCAAACAGGGGCGCCGTAGAGGGCCATGGACCGCACGACCCCGGCGTATAACCTCCGGCAGGAGGCGTTTGGCCCCCCGAGGTTGGGGAGGATGCGCTTAAACGCAGCCCCCACTCGCCAACTTTGGAGCCAAACGTCGGAAGTGCTCCACGAAGTTCCATCGACTGTCGAGGACGAGTCCCAGGTACTTCATCGCCGTCTCGACGCCGATGGTAACCCCTCCCGCCATTATTTGAGACCCACCAGGAGGTGGCGCATTCCCGCGGCCATGAAAACACATGGCCTCGGACTTGTGGAGCGCCACCTCGAGTCCCAACTGCCGGATTCTCTCAACGACTGTCGCAACCGCTGTCGCCATTAAATCGGCCGCCGCCTGGTGCGACCTCCCGTGCGCTAGCACCAGCGTGTCGTCGGCGTAGCATATCATGCTAACGCCGTTCGGGAGGTCGGTGCGCAACACCCAGTCATAACCGATGTTCCACAGGAGCGGCCCCAGAACCGAACCCTGTGGAACACCGCGTGACATCTCTCGCTGGTTCCACTCGCCCCGGTGACCGGGGTAGATGACGGACCTGTCCGTCAGGTATGCCTCGATTACACGACGGAGGTAGGTAGGCACCCGATGATATCGGAGTGCCTCCAAGATGCAGCTCCAGGGCAGGGAGTTGAAGGCGTTGGCGATGTCCAGAGACACCGCCACTACGACCTTACCCCTGGACACTGCAGTCCCCGTCGTCCGGTCCCTAACGCGCATGATGGCGTCCACCGTGGAGCGCCCTCTGCGGAAGCCGAACTGGCCGTCCGATAGGTCCGGCCCAATATCCGTCAGGTGCGCGACGAGGCGGTTCGAAATGATTCTTTCGAAGACTTTCCCCACCTCCTAGGGTTATACGACATCGTAAACCTAATGACTTCAGATATAAGTTTGTACTCCAAACTTCATCACATTAAACGAATTATTTACTTTTGCCATTATTGTTTTACTAATCAGAAAACCAATTTCTACATATGACTTAAAATTGACAGAATTATTGTTAGCATTCGGATGAACAGGTCCTTTCGCATAACTACAATCAAATTCAGTAGCGCGTTCAGTGTCATCGTGACCTTCACAAATATCAAGGAAACGAGATTAGGTGACGTAATCAGCATAAATACGAACACTAATGTCGCTGTTTAGTATCTACTCGTCTTTTCAAAGACACATAAACACAATATAAGTCTTTATATTCCCCGAGGGAAAGATAAAGTTCACATACTATAAACTTCCACTTTTCGTGAATTATGTGTCCTATTTACAGGCGTGTCTAGTGTCCTACACTGGGTGCAAATTCTAACTCAGTGCTAAAATAGGTACTCAGAATATCCAATACCTTGCCCAAGCCAGGACAGTCAGAATTCCTTGCCGAACAGTGGCGCTTGCGACCACTAGACAGACTGCTACATATTAATAAAGTTTGAAAACTTCAAACTTTAATGTTTCGCATTTCCCAAATATCAAGCACAACAAGCATTGCTTTATTACTGTACTGTATTAACATATTTCTATGAAGAGTATTTCGTGACGAGTACGTTACTGGACAGCGTATTTTGGACATTGCGCTCTCTCACATTCACGTCATAGGTACCACCCGGTACACAAAATGTTTTAATAAACAGTCCTCCCTGATAGAGGATCCCTTCTTTTTGAAGTCGATTAAAAATAATTACCAATTTTCCTTGGTCATTACTCATTACATCATAGGAATATAGCCGAATCGATATCACTAACTCTTTTTTGTCAAAAGAACGATTAAAGTAACATTTTTTTTTAAATTGGAAATGGCCACCCTCTCGATGTTAGGACAGGCCCGCTGGTTGGCAACCCAAATTGACATGTCAGTGACGTCAATCAAATGTATTCTGTTATTATTTTTCGAGAAATCCTCGGGGAAGTTGACAATGAAATATAAAAATGTAATATTGCAAATCTATTCCCTTAGCGTTTTAAACGAGTTTCAATTGTTATAATTGCAAAGAAAATCGATGAGTGCACCTCCATGATTGGTTAATTAACTATTGTGTAATAATGAAGGAAAAGTTGAGGGAAAATGCAATAGGTAACTAACTTGCTATAAAATATTCAGGTCAAACTACTTGGAAAGCAAGATATTCTCGGTAGGTAATTTCCCACAACGCAGCTAATACAAGAGTAAAACCATATAAAGTATTTTAAAAATAATAAAACAACAACTATTACTGCGAAAATCTCTACTGCAGAGATAAATGTTTAGAAATCTCCATCCCATACATATTCAATGGTCCGTGAAAGCAAGCATTTTGTACCTAATTAGCTCATTCCAAGCCTTAGTGAAGGGTCATTCAGATCTCGCAGAAATGTGATATTACTAGTGGTTATTTAACCGATCCTCTTTGATAAAATAGAAATAACTGCAAATTAATTTATAATGTTGACGAAGTAATTGCCTACTTTATCCTAAAAACTGATATCGTTCACATGGTTTAATATCTATTAAACGTTAAGAGCATTGCATTCCAAAGGGTTATAATGCATGCGGTCATTCACAGATGACAGGCAAAGCGTATCGTGCTCCAATTTTAAAATAAACGTAACGCTGCATCTGCGCCAACTGCAGATAATTCAGCAATGCACGTTACTGACTCTGTCTCATTGCTAATTAAATCTGATAATAATAATAGGTACAACTAAACTTTATAATTTCCCCAGTGGAAAGATATCAGAGTCAGCCAGTCAGGTGGGATCCTAATGCATGGTATAATGGCATTATCCCGTACAAGGTATTTGCAGGCGGGAACATCTATAATAAGAATTAAAAGAGAAACTAGAGTGTAAATAAACTGCCGGTAACGTAAGCAAATTTTGCGATGCTATATAATACCGGTAGTTAATGCATACCTAGTATGTTATGTTACGTTCTACAACATCACACATAAAACCGCAAGAAAGTGGGCTGTGAAAGTCCTATCCGACGCGAATCAGAGCGAGAATAAAACAACCTCTAACAACAAAATATAAATGAGAATCCAATATGGGCATCTTTATAAATAATTATTTAATGACGCAAGATAAAATCGTGTGACCCTTGCTCTGGTGTTTCACATAAGAAACTAAGTGGAAGAATATTTATTTTATACTCGCTGTCGCGTCACTAACAAACGCTTATGAGAGGTATCTAAATACTGTATAATATCTCAACAGAGTTGTTCTTGTATATTTCCATGAATTATGCAGTATACTCTATAAATATGTGGTCGTTAATCAATAATTATAGTCTTATTATTATAATTCTATTATTGTTAGATACAATACCTTCTCTTAATATTTCGTCGAAAATTTGGTAGGTAGCACCGCAATCTTCAAGCACTTGCCGCCTTAGAATTTTATGTGAGTGATCACCATCAAGCGACTTAGATCGTGAGCGAAACTCATCACTGTCCATAGCACGAGCCTCGTCGGTACTGACGGCCGGAGTAGCGCAAGAGCCTCGCCGACCTTCCCCAGACTCGTGCCGCCAATGCCCCACTTTTTTACCAAACGTTCGAATCAGTTCTTGTATCGTGTGGTGCTTATGCCGATGTCCGCTACTGCTTGACCCTGACCCTCGCCTTTCATTTTTCTCATATTTGCTATCTTTATGATCTTTGGAATCTTTAGAGCCCGTCACACTCTCTGTTAATTTTTGAGCAAAACTTTTGTTATCATGTCGATTTCTATGGCTCAATTTTGAACTAGATATTTCACCATACCGTTCACATTTACTATATTCGTGTTCTTGAATATCATCCATAACATCATTAAAGAGAGGCGAGACGAAATTTCTGTAGTCGCTGCGAGGCGCGTGGTATGTGTTGACGCCAATCTGGTAGCGGTCTCCATCGCTTCTTTGCCGTCTGTAGTCTGGCTGATGAGTGTAATAATGTTGCGTGGGAGATCCTCTCTCCATAACATCCCGAATGTAACTTGCAAAATTCGGATAGCGATCCCGAGGACTAGAAGCAAACTCATAGGGACTTCCTGAACTAGCTCTCATACTCCGATGCGCACTGGAGCCTCTCTGATTGATAGGTATAGGTCGCGCCGTTGAGGATGATGCAGCGCCTTCATTTGCTAGCACGTTACGTGAGTCCGTTGAGGTCAGCGACGAATACCAACTGTCACCACTGTCTTCTTTTTCCATAGGAGGGGTTGATTCTCGGTGGTGTTTGTGCAGAAAATGCGTGAGGCCGTGCATTTTGAATACCGTCTTTTTTACACTTCACTCACTAATTTCTATTCATTTCTGAGGTCTGACATCTTCATCTCCATTGAATATTGATCAGATCTCGGACTAGCAACAAGCGATATTATGTTAATGCAATTTAGTTAACAACTTGATGTCATCATTGTTTAATTTAATAATTAATACTATAACTACATTATGGTTCTTTGGCCCGTAGTACAAGACCAAAATGTTAAAATATCAGAAATAACTAAACGCTACCAGGACATGCTATATGTACCTAACTTTAAACGTAAGTAGAGGTCACAAGTTATTTCATACATGAGTAATCGAACGCATCAGCTGCGCTGCGTACCGAGTACCCGAATGGGGATAAAACAGGTTTACCGCTCTCCAAGGTCACGAGTCGCGACTCCCTACTTAGGGATTGTAAGTAGCGAAGTGGGGCTATGGAACGAACAGAACACAAATGTTTGGAACAGGACGCATGCGTACCATGGGGGTCACCTTCAACCCTGCGAATTTGTTTCACCATGGTGAATGCATTGCGGACGTGACTTGAGGAACACAATGGCACATTTTTACGTATTTGTATAAAGTACTTAGATGTAACATTTTGAGAATGTTTGGGTCAGTTGAAAATGTCTGGTTATTTATATTCGGCACTAGACTAGTAATCTTGTTAAAACGTAATATAACTTGTTTACCAAATATTGTTAAGCGCGATACCTAGCTACTGTTTCAGATTTATAACGATGACAGTTCGATACAACGATCTACGTATTATTTTACAAAGATCTTTATCCCTGTCAAAACTTTGTAAATAAGATTTATAAGGGACACAAATATTATATTATAGTGACACAAACTAGAAAACGAGGAAAACTAACGAACTAAACATAATAACACAGCATTATCAGTTATCATAACTATACAACTGCCAAGGTTTGAAATCTTTGTTCTAGTTCTCAATGATTAGGTGATATAATTTTTCCAATATGGGATTCATTATATTTCTTTAGTTTTTAAGAATTCAATTCGCAAATATACTTGTATTTTATTTTTAAAATTAAAGCATCACACTTTAATGCATTTTCATCTGTGTTGCATTTGTATACGATTTAAATTTCAACATCTTGTTTTATTTTACGTCACAAAAATACAGCGCTTTGAGAACGTTCGTTAGGGAACCATTGAATAATCCGACAGTAATTATAACCTACCTTAACAAAATAATATCAGTTTGTTAAAATTTTAATTATTTCGTATAAAACTGAACTCCTTCGCTAACATTTTATTTGATTTAAATATTTCATGTAAAACATCTTACATGAAATATTTCTGAGAAGTTAAGACATTTCTACTATTTAATTCCATCTTTTTAGTGGAGAAAAAATTCTTTAATAATAAACCAGGCTTCTTCTCGTTTATCATTTTACAATTTGTTTAATAGCAAGGGGTTTTTAATATGATTAAACTGTGAATATCTAATTGAATAGAAACTCTTTGACATTGAGATATTACTGCTCAAAAACTTAGGTTATGCTACGCAAATAGTTATTTTTCGTAGCGACTAAAATTAGATGTTGACAATGAATACTCAAAAATGGATAAGCTTTTAGAATTAGCAGAGATTGATACTCTTACTGAGATAATAAAATGAAAAGTAACACATTCACTATGCCCATAAACTGTTTAGGGATAATGTACAGTCCAGACGGCGTCAGTGGTACATTAGCTAGGTTTTATACAAAAAACTAGAAATATCCAATCAAGTTTCTATACGCGTAATGGACGTAGATACAAGAATATCATATTTCAATGACTTTATAATTGTGAATGGTTTACTGAGAGTTAATAAGTCAAGAGGTTAACAACTGTGACGGTAAATGAAGCACGTAATGCGTTATAGTAGGTACAATAATGAAATTATAGAAGGGAATTATGTAGGTCTCATTGCCAAGAACATTTTGAAACTTATGTGAAGTCCGGTAATTTAAACCCCCCGTTAAACAGGAATGAAGGTTGATTTGGAATTTTAATTAAAGCGACCCAATCTTGTACTGAATCACCTTTCGAAACCGACATGAATCAGGAAATAGAGCAGCAATAAAAAATAGGTTTTGTATTTATTTTGTGACGTCTACTTGAAAATCTAACAATGGCGTTACGTAAAGCTTGGATAAACAGACGCAGGAGTCTATAGTTTCGACATATTAGACAAGAACTAACTTTATCTATTATTATCAAACACTACTAAGATAAGTACGGTTTTTCTTACACAATATGATAATGTGATACCTACTAAATGTCATAGAAGTTACGAAACTATATTAAGGTTGAAAAGTTCCAAATAACTTGATCTCCACTGAATGATACTCAAGCATTTAATACTTAAATAAATTGATTGTTTAGCGGTCTAAGATTTAACGAATAAAACATTAGTATATATCATCTTATTCACATAAAACTAACAATCATTTAGGTTTTACACAGCTAGGTATTATTTCAATGTCACTGTCTGTGTCAAGTAAATGTAGGTTTATAAATCTACTTACATAATCATACTTTGGCCTATTGTTTTAAGTAAGCAGATTTAAAATAAAATTACCTGACATGGTGATTATGTAACAGACAATTGTATAGCAAGTTCAGGATTTAAAATGAAACATAAGTAGTTATGTATAATGTAATTTCCGTTCTAAATACCTGATTTACTTGCATTGTAACAACTTGATGACTATTTATGTGGAATTAAAAAAGTAGTTACAATGACTTATTACAGAAACAAGGAGAATTGTTCGAAAAGGTGTAATCTTTAAAAATATATGCTTGTTTAAATTTGAGTATCCTTTATGACAATCTGTTTGTTCGATACTTGTATTAAAATCTGTTTGCTTATATGTGATTACTTGTCTGTTCGTTCGTCTACGATGGTGTCAAGAGGTTGTGCAAATAACAATGAAATATTGGTTTTTCGTCGGCCTTCGAGTCACACCATATCTTGTATCCGTACAGACATTTCCTATCAAAAAGTTACATTCAATTATAGATGTTTATTTTGTTTCTGAACATGTTATCATTTTTGTTGGACTTCAAAGCGGTTTTCAGATTACCCCATCATTTTATCGTAAGACCAATTTTAAAAGAAAACCATTTAAATTCACAATGGCCTTCTATTCGTGTTTACTTTTCATAGATCTGGTATAAGAATCGAAACAGCTGTGTAACAAATTTGTAACACGCAAACATAGTTTAAATTACGCGTAATATATTATCTCCAAAATACGAGCCAAACGTATTAAATATTATGATGATGTGTAGTTACTAAAATATATCTTTATTATAACATAACTAGTAATTCTACTATCAGTAAATCTGATTGCAGCTCCTTAATTCAATTTTAATAATAGTTTTTTATTATTTACTTTTAAGTATAATTATTATAAAATGAACATTTTATGAGACAGACAATTAAGTCAATGGCTTTACAGTGATAAAAGAACATATTCTTAATTTTTAAAAGAATATTAAACACGTCGTAAAAACTTTGGGACTTTTTGTACCACTTTTAAATAGTTTTCCACTACTAGTATATCCCAGATTGTAAGGTTCCCTAGCTAGCCTATTGGCTATATACATAAACTCGCGTCCTTGTCCAATGGGACCCATAGGGTGCCAAACCGGCCGAAACTATAGACCATTTGTAAACCAGTATTCTGGGACGGTAAGTGAACGACAATTTAACGGACCTCCAAGTGGTTAAAAATGGGGTTCCTGAAGGTCATTTTTAGGTTCATGACGTACTTACTACCTATCTTAAATATTGCCCCTACGTGATACATACATAATCACAAAAATCAAATTATGCATTGCAAAAAACTCATAAACAACGTTTTAGTAAAAAAAAACGAAACATAATAGGATTTGTTTAATGCATTAATTAATATTAAAATATTCTTTATAATGTAAAATTTGTTGTTCCTAATCTTGATTCCAACTAGACTAGCCTTGTCTATCAACTTACAACAACAAGTGACATAACAAATTAACCCTTCATTCACTACTTGTATGAGACATTTATTCAAAAATAGTAAATAGTTATTGTAAAGAAGGCACCTACTCATAAAGTTCTTGTGTAACAAGTAATTATCAAACTATGTCTAAAAGTAATCCGGCTACTAAAATATGTGTGACTTGACAAACATTCACAGTTACCTGTTATATGGAAATATGTTTATCTATTAAAGCCCGTTCTTGACTGATACAATCCGAAGGCGCTGATAAGTTTTGTGGTAACGTTGCCAAAGAAAATATTACAAACAACAATGATGACAATTGGCGCACTTTTTGGCGGTTATTACAGCCCTATAAAGTTGTCAAATAAACAAGTTTGTTTACAACATGTGTCGCAATGCGCCAGCTAACTCACGACCAGGCAGTTGTACGAGAGCACACCATGTGCCACCACAACAGCAAAACGTAAACACCACGCCGTGACACCGGCCGCTCCGAGATCTGATCAAACAAAGGGAAGTAAACCTAGCAACCACATCCGCACCATTCATGGACGATTTAACACAAAGTACCGCTTATGTGCATCGTAAATAAATATTCACAGTTCATTGTATCGTTATTATTATCGTCTGTTTGTACGTCGCGCGCGACACGTCACTCACTCGCGACAGACGTGGGAACACTAACTTAGTGGAATAAGCTACTAAAGAGAGTGGGAACGAGAGGGCATTAGAGAAGACGCGCGTTGTCGGGCAGTCCGCGTGCGGCAGTGGAACAGCGGTCCGGACCGCGTGGCGAGCACGCGACCTGCGGGCCCGACGCGGATCACGTCGCCTCTCCGAGTGGCCGGCAGCCGGTAAGCGGCAATGGCTCCTCCCGCGCTCACCGACATGCTCATTGGCCTTGCTATGTCCGCCGCTGATGTCACTTGGACCTACCACTCTTGTTATCAATTTAACTAAACAATTTTGTAGCACCTGTCCGTGAGGTTTACT